CAAGTTGGAGTCCAGGCTGATGGGGGCTCTGCACTTGCCATTGCAACTTCCATCCTTACCAGCTCTTCCTCTTCCCCGAGTGTTTCAGGGGTACCACATGCAATGGGCCAGTCAGTGATGTCCCTGAGTTTCCTCACACTCCAGGCTCCCTTTGCACGAGAGCAGATGTGTCCCCTGGCCTGCCCTCTCCTCCAGCCCTGCAGCGCGGCGGATGGAAGCAGGAGGCAGGGCTGCACACAGGCAGTTCATTTATTGATACACACGGTCAGCACAGCACAGGTGGGTTTGGGGTTTTCTTTACAGCGTGCACTGTACACACAGACCAGAGAAGCGCCACGTGGGACCGGGGATGCTGCGGGCGCTGCTGCCCAAGCGCCATGCCGCGGTTCTCTGCCACATGCGGGGCGCAGAGGGAAAGACAGCCCCTTCTGGCTCCAAAGCTGATGCTGTGGGCAGGGAAATGGGTCCCGAATCTGCTCTGAGTGGAAGGGAGGCTTCTCCCCCACTGCTGGTGGGCACTGCTGTCCCCAGCCATGCATTCAGCTGGGGCATCCTATGGATTCTGGTTCGCAGGCTCTCTGCTGCAGAAGTCACTGATGGAGCTCACACCATGCTCTCTCCCTGCTCCCTGATGCCAACCTAGGCTTCCTCAGCCGCACTTGCCAGCTTGCGGGCAGCTCTGACCCTCCTCGTCCACCCCGCCTGAAGGCACAGCTCACACCCTCCTCCTCTGCCACCCTGCCTCCTGGGAGAGACAAAAGTGCTCACCCAGCTGTCTCCAGAAGAGGTGGGTTGTCACCCTCCTCCACCTGTCCCCAGGGAAGGCTGACTCTCCCTGTCCCCAGGAGAAGATCACGCTACATTTTGACAGGAGGTCATGCCAGGAGGGCCTGGCTGCTCACCCCTGGCCCTTACAGGCGGGAGCTATCCAGCCCACTGCCAGCAAAGCCTTCCTAGGACATGGCATCCCTGGGGAGCCAGGCATGTCCAAGTATCATGGCACTGTCCAGGAAACCACGTGCAGCTGTGGGCAGCAGCAGCCTCAGTGCAGGCAGCATCCCCATGGGAAGTTCAGTCAGCACACGCCTGGATTTTCTGCAGGATGAGGAGGGGAAAACCAAAAAGCTAGTGTCAAAAAAGGCAAGGCCCGAATCACTGCATGGCAGCAGCACACACAGCACAACACTGCTACAGCACATGGCAAACACAGCACGGCTGGTTGCACGACATGGCGGGCACCCCAAACGCCATGGAGAATGAGAACGTGATGGCACTCCCAAGCAGAGTCCCTTTCCCCCATCCATCGCCAAGGCTCAAGCATCACCTTAAGGACTGCCTCAATAAACACGCTCCATGCTGCATCTCTAGACAGCAGGCAATACCCCACTGGTACCTCTTTGGGGAGGCTGATGACCAGAAGCCTGCAGGAACTTTACTGCCAGCAAGTGTCTGGTCCATGGAAAAGGTCAGTGAGCCCAGACCATCCTGGATGTGGGGATCCACGGCTCAGGCTTGTAGATAGGAAGGTCCTACTTTCCAATCCTCCCAGTGAAAGCCCTTCAGTAGCCAGATGGCAATGAGGGTTGAGGCACTGTGGAGCATCTCCCAGTGAGTGGTGCTTTTGTGCCAGTCTGGGGAGCCCTGCAGGCCCCTCCATGGGGTGATTTCCTTTGCAAATGCAGAAAATTTGGCAGGAACCCATCCCTGCTGCATGTGCAGCCCCTACACCCCAGCACAGTGGCAGCTCTATGAGAAGCGGCACTCTCTGAACCCTGCTGTCCTGTCCCAGCGCTGAGGGCCATGTCTAAGCATGGCGGGAGGCAGAGGGGCCATGTGCAGGCAGGCTGTCCTGCAAGCTAAAGTCACAGCGCAGCACAGAGAAGCCAGCACTATTTATACAGGGAAGAGAGAGGAGCTTGGACAGGGGGAGAACAGTGGGGCTGGCCTGGCTGGGGAGACACCACAGGTGGGCAAGTGTGATGGGCAGGTCAGCACGATGCTGGGGAGGGGACAAACTGCTTTGCAGACTCCCTGCAAGGCATCAGGGTAGTGGCAGGATGGGCTGGGATCAGCAAGTAGCCCCAGAGAGCACCAGGCACCTCGCTGCACAGAGCCAAGAGCAGGTGAGTGATATTCACCCCCGGTAAGGGGGTTGTTCCAAGGTGGGGTGAATGAACAGGGAGCCTGTACGTTCTCCCCCACCCCAGGAGCTGGGGCTCACTCTGGGACATAGCCAAGGCAGACAGCATTCCTCTGCTGCCTGGTTGGGTGGGTGGGGGCCCCCAGGCAGGGCTTGGCTCCACCAGCGAGATGGGTGCAGCCGCCCACTTGAATTCCAGCACACCCCTGGAGTGCCACAGGCCTGCTGGGATCTGCAGTGGGGCTGCCCACACCTCCCTGGAGAGAACTGGGGCAGGCAGCTGTCACACCCCAGGGCGCTGGCCAGTGGGGTACAGAGCCAGGGAGCTCCTTCCCAAGCTCCCCAAGAGCTGAGGGGGCTCTGGGATCAGACTCCATGGCCGGGCCTGCGGGGTGCAACCCCAGTACCTAGGTGCCAGCTAAGCACTGCACCTCTAAAGAGCTGCCCAGGTGGGCATCTGCATGCAGGTGAGACTCCGGTGCACCTGGGCATTCAGCAAAAGGAGCTGGGGAAAACAGGGTAGTCACAAGGGGTAAGGGAGGCCAGGGGGAGGCAGAGAGGAAGGAGGGTGCTGGCTGCAGGAGGGAAGAGCTTTGCAGTCCTGCAGTGCCAGCACCTGCTCTTGTTCTTTCCAGTGTGAAAGTACCACTGTCCAGCTCCACTCCCAGGGATGGAGACCCAGTCTTCCCAGCGGGGGCCCATGCACGAGGTCCCAGGCAGGGGGTTCTTTCCGCTCTGAGCAAAGACATCAGATCGGGGCTCCCCCTCTCCTAGCTGCAGGGCTGCACCTACACAAGCCAACAGAGAGCAGGGCCAGCAGACCTCACCCCTGGGCCAAGGTCCTGTGTACGCCGCTCCCATGGGTCCGTGGTCCTTTGCAGAGTTCATATTTACACTGGAGAGTGGGGTGCGCAGAGAGAGAAGCCAGAGCCAGGCCCCACCTAAATGGTGCTTGCTCTGCCCAGTGCCCAGCCACCCCCGTGTCCGCTGCCAAGGGCCTCTCATTAGCACAGCCTTGCCTTCCCTCCCACACGCACGCCCTCCTGCCTGCCCGCTCTCCCCACACCAGTCGCTAGCGCCCCACGCTGATGTTGCACGTCTTGCAACTGGGGTCCTTTTTGGCATTGGCCGTGGACAGGCTCATGAGCTGGTGGCCACTGATCTCGCCTAGCACGCCAAGGCTGAGGTCGATCGGCTCGGTATAGATGACCTCCAGGATGACGTCCTGGGCGTGGCGATACACCAGGTCCCCGTCTTCCACGGAGCAGGTCAGGAACTTATTGCAGGAAATGTCCAGCTGGGGCAGGCGCTCCTGGCAGAAGTGGTCGCCGGCAGAGCCCTTGGGCGCCAGCACCAGGACGACGTAGTGGTAGGCCGTGTACATGCAGTAGAAGTCCGCAAAGTAGAGATGAGTGTTGGGGTTGAAGAGGCGCTGGGCCGGGATCTGGAAGCGGTAGCGGCCGTAGGGCGAGTCCTGCGGGGGCTGCCCCGTGTTGAACTCGGTGTTGCAGCTGAAGAAGATGCCATGCAGCATGCCACTGGTGGGCGAGCCATGGCTCCCACTATTGTCCTTCAGTGACGGCTTCATCACATTCCCACAGTGCAGCCTGGGAGGAGGGGGAGAAGCCACAGGCTGTCACAGGCAATGGCTCAGACAACCTCTGCCCTGCTAGAAACTAGGGACTACCCTGGCACAGTCCCGAGGAAGTCAGGTGGCAGATGCTGTTTGCACCAGAGTCAGGACTCCTGGGTCCCCTTCCTAGTTCAGGCAGGGGCTCAAGCAGGGGTTCTCCAGCTCTCGGGCCTGAAGGAGGACTACCCCCCACTTAGTACCCAGCCTGTCACTGCAAAGGGAGATGCTCATTGTGATTGACAGGCCTCTGACTACAGCTTTGTCGGCCCTGCAGACTGCGAACCACTGGTCCAGAGGCTAAAATGGGGCTAAGAGAAAGGATGCCTAGGTTGTCTTCCTTGCTCTGGGGAGGGGCAGGGATGAGATGTAGCAATCAGGACACCTGGATTTAATCATGCTGGGGAAGGGAGGAAGCAGAGCTACTGCAGGCAGGACCCAGTGGGTATAGCCAGAGGAGAAACCTGCCCTGCAGCCCTGGCTGCGTGCACTTTGTGCCCCTGCCAGCAAGACAGGGAGACATCCGGCTGGCCCAGAACCTGCCCTGGCCCCAGTCTACGGCATCGGCCATGGTCCGCGTCACACCGAGCTGGACTTTACCTGACGTGCTGGAAATACTCCTTGTGCTGGTTCCGGTAGAAGACAGAGAAGCGGAGCATCCTGCCGGCAATGAGCTCTGCCTTCTCCTGCAGCTGGGCCAGGTGCTCCTTGGCATAATCTGCATGGGGTGGGAGGCACTTGCTATCAGTACGGCCAGTCCGTTGACCTCTTCCCCAGCTGGCTGCAGCCAGGTTCCCCTTCCCCACTCCGGCTGCAACCAGCTCTCACACCCATTGCCTCCCACTCTTGCACTGTTGCTCCACCAGCCAGGCAGTGCTCTCCACTCCCCTTCCCATGTCCCCAACAGGCTCTGCTCTGCCTTCGCTGCCTCCAAATGGTTCTGGGTTTCACATGCCTTCGGCACAGGACAATCCCCCCACCTTGCTCCCCACTTTCCTACTCCTGGTTCCATCTGCTGCTGCGTAGAAAAATCCAGGCTGAAATGGGCTGCCTGTTGCTAAACTATTGCAGCAAGGAGCTGGAGGCCAGGAGCCTATGAGTGCTTAATGAGCAGTGTGGCATGCCAAGAAGGACCCCTGCAAAGCATGCTGCTGCTGCAGGGCTAGGGGCCTGAGGGGAAACTCGGTGGGGGGGCTCCCACAGCGGTAGTCCCCCCATTGCTCCCCTGGCTTATAGAGGGAAAAGGGAAGCTGGCAGCATATGGTGCTGAGCACATGGCAGCCGTTCTGTGCCAGCCCCCGTGGATCTGGCAGGAAACCAAGTGCAGCCGGGTGCCTGGCTGTGCAGTGAGCTTGGAGCCCAGCTGAGCATCCCCACACACTCACCCCCTGTGCAGAACTCCACCGTCTCGCTCCAGCCGGACACCAGGTACTCGCCGTCGCTCTGCTTGACAGCAGTCTGCACCGCCACGCTGTACTCGGTCCGAGGACTCAGGAACCAGTGGCCCCGCACGGTCATGGGCAGCGGCACTGCCTTGGCCACTAGTTTGGTGGGAACATCCTGCTCAAGGACAAAAGCCAAGGGCACATGCAAAACTCTCTCCAGGCCCAGGCCTGAGGCAGGACAAGCACCCCACACCCTTCTCAAGGAGCAAGCTGCAGAGCGTGGTACAAGGCTGACCTGGCACACAGCCCCGCTGCAGACCAAGACTGGAAGGACCTGCCTGGAGCAGCCTTGCAAGGCTCACTGCAATGAATAGAGGCAGGCCATGCTGCCCCCAGTAGCCACAGCTTCACAGACTGCCATAGAGCCAGGGCAGGGTCTGGGCAATGTGCCCTATTGCACAAGAACTGCTACAGCTGCTCTCTGCCTCCGATGCCCCATGGCCAGACACTGCTGTGCAGAATGCCCTATGCTACCACGTTCTAGCCTTACCCCACCATCCCCTGAGTACTGCTGTAGTACCACGGTGTCTGGTACTACAGCATTTGTGGCTACCATAGCTGTGACCATGAAGTGCTGTGGCATTTACTAGCCTGGTGCTCATTTCTGTGGAATACTCTAGCTCCCATTCCTGCAGAGTGATGTATCGGGATGGCACTCTTTGGCTCAGAATGCCCTAGGTTTTGCTGCTGTGGTATTTCTTACACCAGGATTCATTACTACAGAATACTGTAATGCTTACTGCAGTGGTATATATCTATATATGTCTTACTGAGTTCATCTATAGGTGCCTCTCTACCCTGCCTTCTGCCTCACTTCAGACTAACACAGATAGCTCCCTCTCTATTGCCATGGTATTCATCGCAGGACTTGTTACTGTAGACTAGTGTAGTATGCATGATTCTGCTATTTGCTGCTGCAGAATGCTGTGGTATGTATTACTCATGACTGTAGTACTGGCTGCTATGCTGTTTGCTATTCCTGAATAGCGTAGTGTTTATTCCACTGGTATTTGTTATTGCCGGATGCTGTAATACTGATTAGCCTGGGCCCCTACACTGCACCTCACTGTGACAGTCACTGCTGGTGCATGCTGCATCATACTGTAGAGCTGACTGGCGTCGTATTCAGCCCTGCAGACGGCTGCCACTTCTTCTACATGCCCTCAGGCTCTGGGGACAGGTTTTAAGCGCCCTGCTTAGGCACAGGGAGATGGGCCAAAGGAATTGCATGGGACCCTGAACACCGAGAACCCAGCCCCAAAGGGTCCTACAACCCCCTTTGTTTAAGGGCATAAACTGCAGTGTCAATAGGCCACGAAAACACTGCTTCAGTGCTGTGCTGTTTCTGTGGCAACAGCAAATGCTCAGGAGTCAGGAGACATGGGGAAAAAAAAGCTTATTATTGGGGAGGAAAAATATAATGTTAAGCATTAAATAGCATCACCGTGGCAACCATCCCGCTAAAAAGCTCCCGAATTAGTGACTCGGTTCCAGAGGGAGAAGGCAGAGTGAGTAATTTGCTTCACGTCTCCTCTGGCTATGCTTTGGAGGGGATGTTTAGCATTCCTCTCCAGCTGCCTCCCTACCCCATCTCCCCCTTGCTTTACAGGAGCAGGCACACTCTTCCAGGGTGCACTGACCTGGCCCCTGCCTTGGGTGTAACCTTTGGCCGTTGGAGCAGAGTTGGGCAGGGCGGGCTTTTTGCCCCCTGCGCACAGTCCCATGCTTCCCCACCATGGATAGGGCCCTGACCTCCGTCCCTGGGATGTGCAGCTTGGATCTGAACCTGACTCTCCTAGTTACTCATGATGTGCACCAAAAGACAGCTCTTCCCATTCTGACCCCATCCATGATGCTGGCCCCTATCCTAAAGGGACTTTTCCAAGGCTCCATAAGCCACCCACCCACCGACCAGTTCCTCCATACAAGCTGGCTGTAAGGGGGCTTAGCCAGTGCCAGAGCTGGAGGTTTCTGTGATGCACACACCAAGCCATGCCATTCATAACAGCTCGCAGCTGGCTGGCAGCACTGCCATGGGGCGTATGGCTGGATTGAGTGCTCCAAAGAGAACTTGCTTTGGCTGAGGGCATTGCTAAGTATCCACAAGCATCCAATGACTGCTCCAGTTTTATGCCACATCCCACCCCACCATGCACGTGTTGCCCCACACTCACCCGGTGCTTGAACTTGTTGGAGTTCTTGTTCTCCTTCTTGTTGAGGTCAATGAAGTAGTGAGTGACCCGCTCCAAGTCCCCCTTGTCCATGGCCCAGGAGATGCGGAATGAGTCGCATGTGATGTTGTTGATCTCAATGTTTTTGGGAGTGGAGAGCAGCTCCATGGTCTGGGTCACTTGGCTCCTATGGGGCACAGGAGGAAGGGGAGCAGAGAGAGGAGACTCAGGGGTCAGAGTTTATTCCACTGGTGCAGCCAAAACCCCAAGCACAGGGAGGCTGCTCCATTCATCAGACTGGCTGATCAGACTGGAAGATCCCCCAGGACTTGAACGGGTTCAACATGTAGCCCATAGCCTTGGGCTGTGACAAAGCTGCCTCTCTCCATGGGAGACGCTGGTGTCACCCTTTTACCAGGAGAGCAAAGAGAGAGCAAACGTCAGTCCTAACTCCTTCAGTGCAAGACTACAAAACAGCAGCTAAGGGGCACGCTAACACACTAGCTGAGGTGCATCGCTGCGAATCTTGCACAGATCGTGAGCTGCCTGGGCTTGGGATAGAGCCCTAGAGGAACAGCAGCCCACTGCTGGCCATGGAGAGTGCTCTCCTGTGCCTCACTTCCCCTTGGTAACTTCTTTGGCACAGCTGTATCTCAACAAGGAGCTTAGAGGCACAGTTCATCTCTGTCTGTGCAGCACCCTGCGCTTGAGGACCCTGATTGCAGCTGGAGCTGCTGGGGTGTGAAAGCAGATGGGTATAAACCGGTTACAAGTGAATGCCGGCTGGTCAGGAGCAGTTTTTCTGGGTGCTGCGGAGCAGGAGGGCTGGGATACAAAACTGAACTGGATTGTGCGTTTAGACCAGCTGTGCTAGGGTTGCCCAGGGAGCAGGGGCCTGGACTCTGTCCCAGGAGGGACCAGCCAGTCCCATGGAAATAATTCACAGAGCAGCACATTGACAGGGGGAACTTAGGAAGCTGCTCCTGGCCTTTTCCTCCTCTCTCTTTCCATCAGTCTCTGTCTCTTCCCCTTTGCTTGTGTGCATGTGTGTGTGCTTGTGTGTGTTTATATGCGTGTGTGTGCATGCCTGTGTCTATGTGTGCATGCCTCTGTGTGCGTCTCTGTGGGTGGCTCTCTCTCTTTCTCCCTTTCCCTTCACTGCACCCTAATTAATTCCATCTCCGTCCCTGGCACCATCTGAAGAGCGGGTGTCAGCCCACACCACGCTTTGACAGAGCAGACGGCACCTTGCAGGTGTCCGTGCCAGTGAGTGGATCACAAGCCGCGGATGGGACAGCTTCGCGGCAGATGGCGCTAGGGAGGGAAGGGGCTCCGAGCCAAGAGGCAAAACATAAAAAGGGGGGGAAAGGGGAGTTTGTTTTGAAGCTGGCAGCAGAGCAAGCGGGAAAGTGTGAGCAGGGAGAAGGTGGGGGGCTGGGGCTGGCATGGCAGGGGCTAGGCAGGTGGGAGCAATCCAGGGCATGCAGCGGTTGAGTCCAGAGGGCTCCCAATGCCCCATTGTCGCTCCAGACACCACTGCCCAGTGTACTTCCAAAGCACCTTGTTGACTCCCTAGTGTGGATGGCAGGGTGCAGTGAGGTGACCATGGGCTACAGTGACACCGGGAAGGGGATTGAGCCCATATGCCTGCAATGAATTGGGCATGCCTTGGGCCCAAGAACATAAGCACCTTGTGTTGTGTGGTGCGTGGGCATGCTACGGGCAGGCGTGTGCAGAGCACACAGGCCTTGTGCATACCAGCTGCAGTGTGAGTCATGCGTGTTTGGGAGCAGAGACCTGGATGAGCTCCCCAGGTCAAGTCTAGTCCCCGGCATTTGCAAGCAAATCTCAGCTGAAACAGTCCACGTACACATCCGTTCCTTTTCTCACGCCACAGCCACAAAGCACCCAATCTGCACACACGCCCCAGTATGCCCTGGGGAGGCAAAGGCCCTTTCAGTGCCCCTGCCACTGCAGGGGCAGGCACTAGGGAGGCTGCTCAGCTTGTCCTAGGAAACAGGGCAGGAAAGGAAGGAATCCAATGAGGACCCTTGCCAGTCAACCCCACAGTCCATCCTGGCCCCAAATCTAGAGACTAGAGCAAGACCTGTCAGCCAGGCACTGGGAGAGTCTCAGTGCCATCGGGAGCACACGGGCACCCCAGCTGAACTCTCACCCTTTAGCCACAGCCAATATCCAATGCTCCAGAAGCCCCATAATGCATTGATGCACGTGCTTCACTGCGTGTAAAGTCCACGTGGTGTGTGAAGCAGACATAATACATACATGCAACACGCATGTGCAATGGCAGAGCCCAGGTGTGTGGGGCACAGCTGCAATGGGTGTGTGGTATGTGTTCTGCAGCCTGCAAATGTGCAGGGAGCCTGAAAGGAGTTGCTAGCACAGGGAACATTGCTCTGAGGGAAATTATCCCTGTACAGAGCCCTACAGGAGACCAGTGGGGACTCGGCCAGACAGCTGCACCAGTAATACTAGTTACCTGGAATACTACTAGTTACCCAGGTGACTAGTTACTGATGGGAACCAACAGGCAGCATTAGATGCACCTAGATGGTGCATAAAGCTGCACTTAGGAGCTGCAGCCTAATGCTCCCAAAGCCCCTGGTGCTCCTGCCTTGGAGGCTTCCAGGGGAGCCCAGCACAGCGTGTGCAGTCTATGTGTAAGACCCTGAGCCATCAAGCATCCCACTGCCTGGTAGCACCTGAAACATTTGTCAGGGAGTATTCCTTCTCACCTCTACCATTTGCAGAGTGCCTGAGCCTTTGCAGGCAGACAAGGTTCCTTGGGTGAATTTGATATCTTTTATTAGACCAACCCAAATAGTTGGAGAATATTTATTAAGCAAGCTTTCGGATTCAAAAACCCTTCATCAGGCTAAGGAAGCTTTGACAGAGAGACGGCACAAGATGCCAGATTGGAGAGAGGACACGGGGTGGGGGGGCTTAAGAGCTTGGAGATACCAGGCAGCATTTGTTTCGGCGGCAGGACAGGCAGAGTGGAGTCTGTGTGTGATCTTGTGGGTAGGTGCAAATCAGGATGATCCGGCTCATCCCAGCAGGCAGCAGGGGCAACTGAGCACAAGCAGGATGTGTCGAGGCATGGGAGCCCTGCCCCTGGCCAGTCCCCTGGGGCGGCAGGGGTAGGTGGCACTCTGCCAGGACACCCTGCTTCTTAGCAGGGTGTTGCTCTGCAAAGCAGGACAGGGCTGCGTTTGCTCAACACAGGGTGGGGGAAAGAAAAACAGCAGCCTGGGACTCGAGGCTGGGAAATGTGTGGAGTGATATGCTCGGGCCTCAGGCATCAGTGCTCTGCATGACAAGAAATGCTGGTCTGTAGCCCAGGCCCAGCTGCAGCAAAAGGCCTGTGGGGCTGACCCTGTCCCTCACTCTCCCAGCCACTCACTGCTCAACCTGTGACAAAGCTGTCTGCCAGCTGCCATGCCTCAGTTTCCCCACATCTCACAGGGGCAGGTAGAACTCTGTTAGCTGCCCCTGGAGGGATGCTCAGGTGGCAGAGCACAGAGGCATCCATGCTGTTCGTTCTCACTGGCTGAGCGGGATGAGTAGGTAGCGGACAAAGCAAATTGGTCCAGGTGCCTTTAAATCAGGTTCAGGTTGCCCTGGCTTGGAAGCAACTGTGCCCCATTAAACCAAATCAGGAGAGCAATCAGTTTGGCAGGGTGCGGCACTTATCTGAGCAGTGCCAGCCTGCTCACCTAGTTGTGCTGCGTGAATCACTGCTCGCTGCAGGGGCTGGTTCCTCTGGCCTGGGCACATACCAGATAACTGCAGATGCACCGGGGCTGGGAGCTTGGCAATGCCTCCCTGGCCAGGTAGGAATGGGCTTGCATAGCTGGTAGATGGGAGCACTGCAGAGCCTTTGGGGTGAAGGTCAACCAGCTTTGAGAGACTGCAGGGATTAAAGCTGCCCTGCGAGCAGGATCAGTGCTTGCTCTGTGGCAGCTGGGGCACCGGGGCTGTGCAGAGCTGTCTGCCCTCTATCACCCCGTGATCTGCCACATGATTTGTCTCGGGGTTTATGTCCTGTCTGATTCCATCCTGCCCCCTACCATTGTCTTTCCTGCAGTGACAGATCCTTTGTGCTGGGGAAGCAGGTGCTTTTATTTATAGCTGCTACATGCCCAGCCCACACCTTTTGTGTGCTGGCAAGAGTCCTCCCAATCCAGCGCGCTGTAACTTAACCCAGTGCCAGCTCAGCTGTGGGGAGGGCCAGGTGGTGGCAGGACAAGGAGCTCTGTCAATCGAGCTACGTCTGTTATATGGGTGCTGCACCCGATGGATGCCAAGGTTATCCAGGACCTGCATGGAGTTTGCCTTCTGCTGTGCCTGGCGGCAGCAAGCAATCACAAAATCACATGACTAAAGGGTGCAAGATGGAGCCTGGCATCGGGCTCGTGATGGAAGCCAGACCTAGCATGTCTGAGCACCCCTGCAGGGCCAGCTGCCCACAACCCCCCTGAGCTAAGAACCAGTTGTGGTGCAACACCTGGCTTTGTGAGCAGCCCCAGAGGACTGCTCCAGCGTGTGCCCCTGCACTGCGCCTACACCAAGATGCATGTGAGGGGGCAGACTGAGCTTGCCACTAGTGACAGGGCTGATTCATGTGCTGCTTCCTGCCTTGTCCTATGTCACCGGCCCAGCCTGGCATGGCCAGAGAGCTCTTAAGCCCCATCTCCCACCCAGCACAGTGCAGGGCAGGGAGTCTCGGCACTGCAGCACCTCCTGATAAATCGCCCATGCCTGCTGCCTCTGCGAGCCACACGCTGTGCTCTCGAGGGCTGGTCTCCAGGGAGCCGGCAAGACGTCTTGCACTCCCCTTGAAATCAGCTGCAGTCCGCGCTGACGCGAAGCCAGTGGCCTAAATGAACAGAGCCAGGTCTCATGATGCTGGCCTGCAGGGCTGATGCCTGGCTCCAGGCAGCAGAGCAGGGAGCCCTGCCTGCCTCGCTCCAGTTCTGCACAATGCCGCTGTTTGTCTCATCCCCAAGGGATTTAAGCACCCGTGGAGGGTGATAGACTCCCAGCCCTGGCGTGTAGGCAGTAGCATGGATCCCTGCTGCATTGTCCATAGCCTCCCTGCTGGCAAGGCAGGGGCCGGCTGTGGTGGGGTTGTAGCTGGCAGACCTGCTCGGGGCGCAGAGCTCACGGCTGTGGCGCTGCGGGCAGAGGCTGCAGGCGCAGTCATTGCAATGCCCCCTGCTACCAATACTCCCTGCTGCTCTGCGCAGCATCTCCTGCTGCATGGGGTGCAGAAGGGAGCTGCCCATGCCAGCCTCCCTTCCCCAGGCCCAGCAGCACCTCCTGCTGACTGGGGTGAGAGTAATCCAGGGCAGCTTCCCCTCTCCTGGCAGGCAGAAAGCAGGGCAGGGTGGCACCTTGGAGATGCACTAGTCCAGAGAGCTCTGACTCTGATCCAGTTGGTCCCTGAGGGGCCAGCCTGCCCTGCCTTCTGCCTGATTCACACCAGCCACCAGTCCTGGGGAGATGGGCCACTTTCTGTACCAGCTTGGAACAAAGTGGGGATGAAATTCAGCTCTACTAAGAGCTGGGCCCCTTTTGTAGGAGAGCACATGGTAGAAGGAACCTCTCAGCCCTGCTGTGCTGTGCCCTGGCACGTGGAGGGGGTGAGAGCAGCTAGTGGGGAGAGGAGATGCTTCCCGATCCCTGATTCTCCCTGATTCCTTGCTAAGTCACCCTGACCAGAGGGGAAGGCTGAGCCCTTGGGGCTGGACAGGATGTGATGAGGACAGAAATGGCCTGGGGAGCATGATGCAAGTTGGGGGCGTTGCTGACGATGCACGGGCAGGAGACGAGGGGGGTTGGCCAAGCAGAGACATTTGTTGGAAACTGGCACCTGCCCCATGTTAAATGTATGGTGAGTGGGAGAGGCAGCTGGTGGCGCTGGGGCTCTGCAGCCCCATGGGCCTGACCAGGAGGGTCCCCTGAGGCAGGTGGCGTCTGAGGAGCACAGCACCATCCCAGGAAACCGCCTCTGCTGGGCTGTGTTTTGCGAAAGGGGACGCATGACTTCGCCCCATGGGGCCGTCTGCTCCTGGGGGCATTCGCTGGGATTTGAGCCCCGTGGACCCGCCCGGCACAGCATGCATACGGGGCTTGTGTCGTACAACTTGGGCAGCGGGGGGGTGGCTGGCATGGCCAGCTCAGCTTGAGCTCTGGCAGCAGTCTGAATGATACTCCAGGCCATTTTTAGCTCTGATTAATTAGGGCTGGTGGAGAATGCGTGGCAGGCCGATCCACCAAGCCGGTGCACACGGGCTCGGGCATGGTTAGTCATGAGTGCCTGCAGATCCGCCCACGCGTGCAGAGGCGTGTAGGCATGAGCGGGGGGTCAGGGGCAGCGTACGCAAGTGGGGAGATTGCCACAGGTACAGATGCCAGCTCGGATAAAGGAGAAAACTCACAGGGCCGGGCACAGATGTGGAGACAGACAGAGACACCGCACTTGTGTACAAAGCCAGTGGTTTGCCCTTGTGTATGCACAAGGGGGGAGCACACACGGCACAGCTGGGTGTACCAACACACACACACGAGCAAGACATTTCTTTGCCTGTTACAGGAAAAAACAGCCAGAAGTGCCTGGAGACAGGTACACGTGCATGCACACATACACAAGCAAGAACAAAAATGTGCAGAGTGGCATGTTTGTGAGATAATGGCTCTTGCAGGAAGGATATGGACACAGACATGGACAGTTGTATAGCGAGACGCAAGTTAATGCTTACACACAAACATGGACTGCAACAATGAGGGGAACATGCAGGGATGCACACATGTGAAGCTATAGTGTCCACAAATCGACAGATGTACTTACATGTAAAGGCCTGGGGTCTCTGCATAGACAGACAGACATGTGCGCGCAGAGGACACTTAGGCCCAGGTATGTGGCAAAATGTGTGCCATGCTGTTCTCTTTTCTCTCTGTCCTCTTATTTGTGTACATGGACAGAAAGGTGCCAGCATGTGTGTGCCAGAGGACACACAAGGACATACAGCAGTGGAAATGTGTACATACGTGGAGCTGTTACTTCATCTCTCATCATGCTTGGGGCAGAGAGGCACACAGGCGTATACCATGCAAGAGGAGCATGTGCGTGCAGGGGAACATACATGTGTTAGAAAACCAGCTGTTGCACCTCTGTCCATGCATGGACGTGGACAGCAATATTGTCCTGTAGAAACATGCTTGCAGGACAGAGACATAGGCCAGGGCACAGGAGAGGGGCTCATGTGCAGACATGCACACACATCCCTGCCAATGTACGTACCTTCTACCCCCACCACCCCCGGAGCAGTTTTTTACAAAGAGATGCTCTGCGGGGAGGGGAGGGTTTGCATTGGGAGCAGTGCTCAAGGCAGCTGGTCCCCCAGTCACTGCCCCACTCCCAAGGTAGATTATAGTGAGCGCTAGGGAGGCACAAAGGCTGTGTGGGAGGGCACTGGGCACCAGGGGAGGGAGCGCACGATGTGACATGGATGCTGCTTCAAACGCACTGGGGGACCTCCAGGAGGCGTGGGAAGCAGCCCCAGCTTGCCCCAAGCCCCAGCCCCAGGGCAGAGCCAATGCTGCCCAGCATTGGCTTCCACATCCATGTCAGGTCCACAGCACCTCTGCCTCTGTACACACCAACCCTTCCTCAGCAAGCCCTCCCATCAGCTCCCAGATCCTTCCTAGCGTCTGGCTCCATTTGCACTTGTCGGAGCCAAAGCAGGAAGGCAGCGTGGGGGCGTATTGGAAGAGACGCACTCCCTGATGTTTGCTGCGTTGGCCGGCTGGCCTGGGGGCTGTGCTGGCAAGGGGAGCAGAGCCGCAGGGGAGCAAGACCCAGAGGGGGCATATCAGCACCAGGTGAACACAACCTCTGGGACAGGTACACGCAAGGCAATGGCACAGGGATCCACCCGTATGCTCTGCACACGCACTTGCACTCTCAGTGTCCACATGCAGCATGCATGCCCATTCACACTCACACTCATGCACACGCAACACGCACGCGCATCTGCACGGCCACCTGCAGCATGCTCGCCTACTCACACTAGTGTACATCCAGCACACACGCGCACCCCTAGAGCCACCCGCAGCATGCTCACCCACTCACTCATGCACACCTGCCAAAACGCATGCACTCGCACACACTAATCCCCCACATCCATATCCAGATATGCACACCCAGTCATGCTTGCACACACCTTAGGACACGCATCCACACCTCCCTCACACCCGCATGTAGTTACCCACCCCCACGCCCACACAGCCACATTAACACGCACGTACTCGAATTCCCATCTTCCCTACGCAGATGTACCTGCTTGCACATGTACATGAGCACACATATCACATGCAGCCCCCAAATCCATCTGTGTATATGCACCTGCTAACATTCTTGCACACGCATACACTCAGTCACCCATGTACAAGCATATTTATATACTGACACACAGCCACACACAGGTACGCACACTCGTATTATGAGCCATAACACAGACATTCACAAGCATGTACGCACAAGTACACTTTCCAGCTTACAACCCCCACCCCACACATATACACCCACATGCAAGCTTATGCAAAAATATGTCTGTCAGACGCATCCCTGTGCCCTACATGCATACTTAGGCAGATGCCTATTGAACACAAACACATGCACACCCACATACAGATGCATGCAGTCATGGTTGAGTGCACAACCCCCCACTCACAGATATGCCACACACTCCACACTGACACATACATGCCTCCATGCACACGTGAATACGTACCCACGTACTCGCACCCACCCCACGCACATCTGTGCATTCCCATGCATACACACATACACATGTATACCATCTATGTATTCCCATGCATGTGTACACACGCACATATGCATGCATGCACACACACACACCAACACACACCACCTGGGTTTTTCTTTGTCAGCAGGGCATTTCAGTGGCTGTCGTGTGGTATGGCGTGCCCACCTCTGCCCCCCCGCCGCATTCTGGGCGCTGCCTCCAACCTAGACAGGCTGCCACATTTCCTTGGGGACAGCACAATGCAGCCTGACCAGTCCAGCTGCCTCCTGGAGCCTGTGAACCAGGCTGCGGCGCCTGCCCTCACCTGCCTGCACTGTCCTGCCACTGGGGACTTGGCCTGCGGCAGGAGCTGGATCAAGTTCCCCAGCCACGTCCGCTCTAGTGACACCTCCTTGGCGCTCCTCGGCCTCCTGCTGCACCCTGCCAGCATGACCTACTTAATCCCAGGGAGGGATTCCTCCGTGCTCCCAGCTCGCAGGTGAGAAAACAGCAGCCAAGTGACATGGCAAAGGCCACAGAGCAAGTCCGAGCTGAGGGCAGCACTCAGGGGTCAAAGACTCCCTGCCTGGTCCCCTGATCCGCACTGCTCCCCGTGCTCTCCAAAGCAGCTGTGCATCTATGCAGCACCTGGCATGCTGTGAGCCGGGGTCTCCTAAGCACGCGAGCGCAAGTGCTAGGGAAAGCTACCTTACCTGTATCCACGGGCGCCGCCGAGGCTGGGCGGTTAGCAGGGCTGCCTGGCACGCAGCGTGCCAGCCAAAGACAGGCAGCACAAAGGTTTGCAATTCTGGAGACACGGCTGAAACTTGGCTGCAAAAGCAGTTTCTCCTGCTAGGTGCTGCAGCTTCCCATGCAATCGCCTGTCTCCTCCCGAGGTGATGCTGCTACTCTGCCTCTGGTGGCTGCTGCTACCGCTGCCCAGACTCTCCCAAGTGCTAGGAAACAGCAGACACCCGAAAGGGGAGGGAAAAATAGAATCAGAGCAGCATGGAGGAGGAAAAAAAAAATCCAGGCCTTCTCCGCCAATCGGCGCTCAGGCTGCAAAGCATCAGGTGATGAGCAGCCACATTCCCAGCCTGGCTTCCATGAGCTGCAGGGACAGCAAGGAGAAATCAGAGAGGCTTTTCCCAGGGCGGGGGTGTCGCACCAATAGCAGGAGCTGGCGTGGGGAGGGGAGCAGGGCTCTGGGGCTGGTTGCAGAGGGGTGACAAATGCACATAGGATGGAGATAGCAGGGCCAAGTGGATGCCCCAAGTGATGCCCAGGGACCCTTGGGAGAATGGGACGGCTCCCCGCAGAATGAGCAGGAGTTGGATATTGGCCTAATGTACCCAGCGTAAAGACCAGGGCACCCCCGGGAGCCCCTCACGTCTGCAGCCAGGCCAGCCCCTGGTGACAGGACTGCCAAGCTGGGACCCTTTAACTTTCCCCACACTTGCAAGGAGATTTTATTTGCAGCAGGCACCTCTGCAGCGTGGCTGGGTTGGGGAGTGTGGTCTGCTAGGCAGGCCAGGGAATGTGGCTGTCTGCCTGGCTTTGTGGCAGGTGCAAGATCCAGTGGTTAGCGCTGGGGACTACAAGTCAGGGGTTTTGGGGTCCACTCCCAGCTCCAGGGCAGAGAATGGCAGAGGAGGCGGTGTGTGGAGAGGAAGGGACAAAAAGTCCGGACTTCTGGGTCCTCTTTCTGGCTGTGGAGGGGATGCTGGTTAATGCAGTTTCTCAGCCTTTTCAGGTCAATGGTCCCATATTCAAAGCCAACACTTTGCACATACACCCTCCCCCACCCCCACCCCCTTTCCATTTACCTTAAGAGTAAAGTGCACACCCATACTAATTATGCAAGCCTGACATGGCTCCTTGGGGTTGCTGTAAACCACTCATGCTTGAAGGGGAAGGGTGTGGGCTGAGTGCAGGGTAAGATTTTCAGGTATCCAGGTTGTAACTGTATTAGTCTAGAAGCAAAAGGAATCAGAACTCATGGCAGAGGTGATATCTTTTAATAGACAAACTCGATCTTTGCAAAAAAATCTTTAAGATGTTCTGTGCTCTGTGTTGTGATAACATTATTAAGACCTTGCCACCTCCCTGAGCCCTCTCTTGGTGGTCCAGACTTCCCAGCTGGGAACCTCTGCTTATTGCTGCATATCAGCCTGGCCTCAAGGACCTTGGTTCTTGCCTCCCAGCTCATCCCAGGCAGCTAAGATCAGCTTGAGTGGACAGTGCCCAGCGGGCCTTGTCCAGGAGGCACAGCCCACAATCTGGATCATCAGCCCTCCCCTGAGCTGACTCAACCCAAATCAGTGACCTTCAGGGAAAGTAGAAGAGCCCTGTGTGTCCTGCCAGGCTGTGGCTGGAGGGGCAAGGAGGCAGTCAGACACAAAGCCTGCTCTCAGATGCACCGAATAGCCCCACTGGCATTGGAGTTGCCCCTGCTTTAAACCAGTGTAACCTCTTGCGGGCTAAGATCAAGTAGTTTCTTTAAGGCATCCAAATCCCAAGACCTCCAGGCTTGGGCCTGCACGTAGGTTGCCTGCCAATGGATTTGGGAGTATCAGAAGTCCCAGGGTGAGAGCCTGGGACGGAGGATGCTTGCCAGTAGCAGCGCCATACGGCTGTGTTTAGAACAATCGAGCCCTGCTTGCTCAATCAATATGGTTTTGGGGACAACTGAATCCTGCTCGATTGATGTGATTTGGAAGCGACTTGTCTGATTTGACCTGGAACACGAAATATATTATTAAAAAAAAACCATAACCTGAGAGCAAGACTGGATGGTCTGCACAGAGGACACGGTTAGCTCGGCAGCAGAGAAGCTCAGATGTCTCCAAGACCCTCCAGGCACGAGCTTGAACCACCCAGCAGTCTTCTGCCAGAGGCTGCCTGCAGCCAGCCTAGCTGTGGGTAAATGCCCAGTCTCTTTGCTGAGGATCAGATGCATGATGCGGGTCACGTGAAAAGTGGGGCACCTTCCCCATGGGCCATCTGCATGGGCAGCTTGTTGACTGCATGAGGAAACCTGCACCATCTTCTCTCTGCCCAGCCCCTCACGTAGCTAAAAGCCCCTTAAAAAGGGCAATGCCAGAGCAGCTTGAGGGTAGGGGAACCTCCCAGGACCCTTCTTTGTAAAGGGGAAGAGTGCAAAGCATGTAGCTGTCTGCCTGCTGAGGCACAAGTGGGCGACTTCTCAGCTGCTATAAATCAGCCCCGCAACATTGAACCAAGCCCAGCTACGCGTGTGTTTTACCAGGGAAACAGTTTTGAAAAAGATGAGCCAAGTGCTGTAACCGTGGAGCTGTGGGAGATGGCTGGGGGTTTAGAAGAAGCTACTCCCCATTTACGCACGGAGAGGTGAAATCAGCCCTGGGCCCACGCACCTATTTCTAATCTAACAAAAGCCTGAGCGCTGGAGACAATAGGGATCCCTGTTCGAATGCCACTCCTGACGGGCCTCGAGGCCACCGGCAAGAACAAAATGGAACAAAGGAAGTTGTGGCAGAGCTCAATACATGTCTTTTGCCAGAGATGAGGAGGTGCGTGCTAAACTTACAGCCCACGATTTTGAGCAGATCAGACCCGGCTGATTGCTCGTGTCCGTGGGTGCACCAGGCACCTCAAGAGGTGAGGATTATACAGGTCCTGTTGTTGGAGGGAGGGGACAGACACCAAAGCAAGAGATGCCAAGAGAAAGCAGCATCTTCAGCACGTTGCTTTTTGCCAGCAGCTTTGCTGAGCAGTGGCTGGAAGAGCAGAGCCTCTTATTTCAGAGGAGCTGGTCTCAAAAAACACCTTTACCGTTACATGTGAAAATGAATGTGATGGCAACAACTGAGTCTAACAGGGGCTGTTTTTTTTTCCCTTGGGCCTGGCCAGTTGCCATTCATTGCTGGGATATACTCCCTCCTGAAGAGGTGTTAAATTAAAACCCAACAACACTTGATTTTTCCATTTTCACTTAACACCTGTGGACGTGAAGTTGCACCTGAGGCTGTTTCCTAGCAAGCAGCAGCCACTGGCACCAGCCAGGGAAAGTTTTGTTTTTAATAGGTCTCGGGCATGATGTTCAAAGCAGTCTCTGATTTATTTTTTTTTCCAGCAAGCAATGGCAGGCCCGGTTTTATGAGGTAAGTAGTTAGAGATGGCACACTTTGACATCTCGCTGTGGCTGCATCCGGGTATCGGGTAATTGGGCATCTAAGCACTATGTATTGAGTGCTTGTGCAAAATTGGAGCCGCTGTGAGATGCGTGTGCAGAATTGCAGCTGCACATTTTGCCAACCCCAAGCGCTCGCACGTCACGAGCTGCCTCCCAAGCACTTGAGATTGGCCTCCACGGCATGAGACGGAAGAAAAACAAGGGATTTTGTATCTTTCCTTCCCTCCCCCGCTTCTTGCCTTCTGGTTTCTCAGCTTTTCATGTGCTCTCAAGGGAACAAGGAGCATACTTTTCCTTTTTCTTTTAAATGAAGGCTGAGAGTCTCCTGAAATTAGCCTCCGCCAGCGGCAGGAAGGAGCAGGGGGACGTGAAAGTATCACGAGCTGATGCAGTATTTATGTGTGACATGGCTTGTGATAAGAAAACAGGACCATCTCCTACGCAGGAGAGCAACGAGGGGACGGGAGCAGAACTAGACCCTCCGGATAAGAGGGACAGCCCCGAGCCAGAAGTGAGGTCCCGAGGCCGGGGGCCTGCAGGGCAAAGGAGGACGGGTGCAGTGGAAGGCTTAGCAAGCCAGCCCCTGGCTACTGGTGAACCCAGGAGGCTGAAGGCCAGGCCCCCTGGATGCTTGCTGCCCCCAGCAAGCCCCTGCTGCTCTGCCAGCTCCCTAGCCCTACAGCCGCCTGTGCCCTTCGCAAAGATGGCGGCCCCCGCCGCCGCCACCGGGCCCTGACAAACATGGCGGCGCCCTTGCTCGAGAACGCCCTTCCCAAACATGGCGGGGCGGGCGTCCTTCCGGGTTTTGCCCTTCGCTAGGATGGCGCTTGCGCTTCTACGCATGCGCGGGGGAGTTCAAAGGGGAATCCCGGGCCACGGGCTTCCTTTTGCTGCTGCCGGGCGAGGTAATGGGGGGAGGGGAGGGCGAGCGCCATGCGTGGGGGCACCCCTATAGCCTGGCCGGTTGTATCTACGACCTCTACCATGGGGCCTGTATAGTCTGGGCTTCTATATCCAGGGGCCCGTATAGCCTGGGTTCCTAAATCCAAGAGTCCCATTATAGCCTGGGGGCCCTATAACCTGGTCCCCTATAGCCTAGGTTGCTGTATCTACGAGTCCCACTATAGCCCGGGGTCCCCTATAACCTGGGCTCCTATATCCAGGGGGGCCCTATAGCTTGGCCCTGCCTAGCCAGAGCTCCTATATCCATGGCCCCCTATAGCGTGGGGCTGTGCCGGGGATGGTCCCCTCCGGGGCAGAGATCTGGGCCCCTACGGCAGCTCCGGGGCAGGGCTCCTAGCCCGAGTCCCCCCCTGGCCTCACTGGGGCTCCAGCGCAGCCCTCGCTCGTGTCTGGTTCTCTGGGTCCTGCTTGCCCCTGGTGCACGGCATCTTGCTGCTCGTCCTCCCAGCCGTTGCCCTCGGCCTGCCATCCGTGGGGTGCAGCGAGCTTCCCCCCCCCTTCCCCCCCGTGCTCGCGCCATGGGCCGCAGGGCAGGTCTCTGGGCTGCTGGGGCTCCAGCCATGCGTCTCTCCCCAGGTCCTCTGGGAGGATGTCGGAAGCAGGGTCGGGCAGCGATGCTGGAAACGCGAGCAATCTCCGCCCGGGTCTCTCTGGGCCCCGCGGACTGATCGGGAGGAGAACTGCCACCCCTATTACCCCCGGGAGACTCCCCTCCATCCGCTCCCGAGACCTCACTCTTGGAGGAGTGAAGAAGGCAAGTGTCCCTCGTTCTGGGCAGAAAACTGCCCTCCTGGCTTTCC